GTGAACTATCCTTAAATATCACATTTCGATTCTTACTATGTTACAGAGCACCTGATTATGACATCAAACATGTAAACAAGCTAAATTCACTACTAACATGGACAACATCCTGCCCACACACTTTTATCTTTCTTGGTGACTTCAATCTACCTCATATTAACTGGACCCTAAACGAATGTACAACTGAACCCATACATGCAACCTTCTACAATGCTGTTACAAATCTGGGACTGGAACAACTAGAAACCAACAATCCTAGACTTAACAACTGCCTTGATCTCATCTTCTGCAATAGTTTGAATTTAATTTACAGAATACAAACTAAAGAACCCTTTCCCAACATTGACCACAATATGATTGACTTTTGTCTCAACATACACCCACTTAAAAATCATCACAATGATGTACTCCCCAATTATAACTTCAAAAAAGGCAACTATGATCTTATAGACAACGATCTCTCATCCCTTGATTGGCAATTTCTATTCACTGGAAGCAATACTGTTGAAGACCATTACAACATATTTTTACTTGAAGTCAAAATAGTCATCAAACTATATGTACCAATAACAACTCCCAAAACAACAACAACAACAAAAACCCATATTACCCATAACAATAAGGAAATTTCAATCCAAAAAGAGATCACTCTGGCGGAAAAACAAATCTGGTCACATTGCCAACTTCAAAAGCCGATACAAAATTTTATGCCACCAGATAGAGACTGAATGCCCCAATTATCACATCAAACAAGAGGAAAACCTTCTACGCACCAATTCCATCCACGCTTTTTACAATTTTGTTAACAACAAACTAAAAGATTCAAGGTCCATCCCACCCTTGATAGGACCTGATGGTAAAGACTGCAATGACGACACCATTAAAGCCAACCTCTTTAACACATTCTTTGGCTCAGTATTGGTAAACAGCAATGGATCATGCCCAGTATTTCCTAGCCAAACCACAGATAACTACAATGATCCAATACATATCAATTTTACAGAAGACAATGTTGAAAAAGCACTACGCAATCTAAAATCATCTCTATCTATTGGACCGGACAGAATATGTGCCTACTTCTTAAAAAAGCTATCTACTGCCATAGCAGAACCTTTAAGCATAATCTTTGAAAAAACTTTCAGGACCAGCTCCTTGCCTAACCTATGGTCACAAGCCACAGTCATTCCCATCTTCAAAAAGGGAGACCCAGCCTAGTTGAAAATTACAGACAAATCTCCTTATGCTGCATCACCTGTAAAGTCATGGAATCAATTATTAACCAATCCATTATCATCCACTTAGAGACAAACAACCTACTCTCTAATAAACAATTTGGTTTCAGAAAAAAAACTATCATGTAATCTGCAACTCTTACACTGCAAAAACATATGGACTACACAACTCGATCAGGGCAAAACAATGGATGCAATCTACATAGACTTCTGTAAAGCCTTTGATTCAGTGGTACATGACAAACTACTCCTAAAACTAAAATCTTATGGTATCTCTGGACAAGTGCATAACTGGATAGAAGTATTCCTGTCAAACAGACAACAAATGGTCAAAATTGGGAGTCTCCTATCAAATTCTGTACCTGTCAATAGTGGTGTCCTGCCTTGGGACCAACTCTTTTCATACTCTACATAAATGACCTCTGTGATCACATTAAGAGCAACTTCATTCTCTTCGCAGAGGATGTAAAGCTGTTCAATATCACAGACAATACTGCTACCCTTCAAAAAGATCTTGACTATGTATCAGAATGGTCAAACAAATGGCAACTTCAAATCTCAACAAATAAATGCTCTGTCTTACATATTGGCAAAAAAAATCAGAAAATAAAATACAAGCTGAATAGTCAAGACCTTGTTGATGATCCAAGCTCTGCAAAGGACCTTGGAATACTCATCTCTAATGATCTAAGTGCAGGAGCTCACTGTAACTACGTAGCCAAAAAGGCATTAAGAGTTGTTAACCTAATCTTACATAGCTTTTTCTCTGGTAATATCACACTACTAACTAGAGCATACAAAACATTTGCTAGACCAATACTTGAATACAGCTCATCAGTCTGGAACTCACATTACGTATCTGATATTAACACAGTTGAGAAAGTCCAGAAATATTTCACAAGAAGAGTTCTCCACTCCTCTACTCATTGTAGAATACCTTATGCCACCAGACTTGAAATTCTAGACCTAGAAAACCTTGAATTACGCCTTCTTCAGTCTGATCTAAGTATGGTATATAAAATCATACATTTCAATGACTTACCTGTCAATGAATACTTCAGCTTCAGCCATAACAACACAAGAGCACACAATAGATACAAACTCAAGGTTAACCACACCAAACTTGATTGCAGGAAATGCAACTTCAGTGTGATGACCCGTAGTCTCTCAAAAGAACCCCAACCCACAACATATATTAAAGTCCAGTAAAGCCTTCAACTTAACTTCACTGTTTTATTAGGCACAGTTTAAAGTCACAAAAGTAAATAATGAGGCAAACAGAAAACCAAAACAAACCGCATTGATGAGAGTTCCGAAGCAAGCCAAGATAACTAATCATAAACTCCAGGAAAATAACCGAGAAAAGTCCATGGGAAGAATGCCAGCAAAGAAAACCTCTTTCAAGGTGAACACTAAATTGACTCCTGCAAATTCTAACTGCGCAGTTGCAGACTTATATACATAGCTCCCACCTGCAAGCCATGAGGAGGATCATGGTAATCTCCTCTTGAGTAGACCTTGCTTTTCCCTGATCCTCTCCTCCCTACATAACCTAGGATGGATAGGGGATAGCCTGGATCCTCCTCTGACTGCTCAGCCGGCCTCTGCCCTTCCCCAGCCTCCTCCACCACCTCTGGAGCCACACTCCCACTCCCTGTTGGCTGTTCCTCCTCTTCCTCAGTCTCCAACTGGGGCATGTTACTATGCCCCCCACAGGGCCCCCTCCCCCGGGACCAGGCAGATGAGGATGTTGAGGAAACCGAGCATGAAAGTCCTGGACCACACGAGGAGCATTAACATCAGTAGCATTGACCCAGGTGAAGTCCTCTGATCCATAACCTTTCCATGCCACCAAATACTGAAATCAGCCCCACAACTGGCATGAATCTTGGATGCTATCCACTTTGTACTCCTCCTCTGCCAGAGGGGCTACTGGGGCCGGCAGTGATGGAGCTGGTCTATGCGGACTGTCGGCTGAGGCCGGGACTAACAGGGAACTATTAAAAACAGGATGGATATGCATGGTCATTGGCAGGGAGAGATGATAAGCCACAAGATTGATCACCGCCTCCACCAGAAAAGGTCCCAAGTAATGGTGATCAAGCTTTTCCGATGGTCGTGTTGTTGGTAAATATCGAGTAGAGAGCCAAACCCAATCGCCGACTGCTAAAGATGGAACATCGCGAAGATATTGGTCTGCAAACTGTTTATAGTCTTCCTTGGCTCTCTTTCGTTGATCATGGACCATGTGGTGCATGGCTTTTAATTCCTGCAAAAACGTATCCACTGCCGGAACTGGGGAATCTGACGGGGCTAAAGGGAAAAGTCGTGGATGAAACCAATAGTTAGCAAAGAAAGGGGACACACAGGTGGATGCATGTTGAGCATTGTTATAAGCAAATTCTGCCACTGACAGCACTTCCATCCAATTGTCTTGTTGAGTATTGCTGAAACAGCGGAGGTACTGCTCCAAAATAGCATTCACTCTCTCTGTCCCCCCATCAGTTTTGGGGTGATGAGCAGATGACAGATACGCCTGAACCTGCAGTTTCGTGAATAGGGTCTGTCAGAAGCGTGCTGTAAATTGTATCCCCCGATCTGATACCATGCGGTCTGGTAACCCATGCAACTGGAAAACATGGGAGATAAACAATTGAGCCATTATCTTGGCTGATGGAAGACCTGCACATGGAATAAAGTGGGCCATTTTAGTCAACATATCCACCACCACCAAAATGGTTGTGGCACCATTCAGTGGTGGTAACTCAACGATGAAATCCAATGAAACTGCCCCCCACAGTTGTTCTGGCATGGGCAAGGGCTGCAAGAGACCAGGGGATGCACCAGGAGCATACTTGGCTTGGCGACAGATCCAACAGGATGCCACATATCCCGACACATCATGTTTAAGTCTCAGCCACCAAAATGTCCTAGAGATGAGGTGCAGTGTTTTAAACACTCCAAAGTGTCCTGCCGCCGTACTATCATGACATTGACATAGGATAAGGCCACGAAGAGGACCTCCAGGCACATAAATACAACCACGGAACTGCAACAGGTCCCCAATATACGCCCAAGGAGTCTCTTGTCTTCCATTCTCATCCAATTCTCGATGTCGAGCTGCCACAAATTGGTCCTGCTGCTGCGCCTCCTGAATCCTCACTTGAAGGTCCACAGGTTCCTTGGTGGCAGCAAACCGCTCCAACGGAATCACCACCCAGGGCAAGATTTTATCCTCCCTTCAGGTATACTCGGGCTTCCGAGATAGGGCGTCAGTGCATTGATTCCCTCCACTCGGAACATAGTTCACCCGAAAATCGAATCAAGCAAAGAATAAGGACCATCTCACCTGACGCTGGTTCAATGTCCGAGCTGTATGTAGGTGTTCCAAATTGCGATGATCCATCCGAACCTTGATTTGGTGATGAGCCCCCTCCAGGTGGTGCCGCCATGTCTCAAAAGTGACCTTAACTACCAATAACTCCTTGTCCCAAATTGTATAGTTGCGCTCTGGAGCCGACAACTTCCGGGAATAATAAGTGCATGGGAACAAGGTGCCTGCGGGAGCATAGGCTTGGAGGAGCACCACACCAACAGCCACATCGGAAGCATCTGTTTCCACCACAAATGGCTGGCATGGATCAGGGTGTTTGAGAATAGGTTCAGAAGCAAAGGCAACTTTCAATGCCTCGAAAGCTGCCTGCTCCTCAGCACCCCAATGGAACTTCTCCCCCTTCTTGAGCAGATTAGAAAGGGGAGCAGTCAAGGCAGCAAAGAGGGGAATAAATGTGTGGTAGTAGTTCACAAACCCCAACAGTCATTGCACATCTTTAACCCGCTGTGGAGGTTCCCACTCTTGCAACGATTGAATTTTTTCCAGGTCCATTTCCACCACAGCAGGTGAAATATGATGTCCCAAGAAGTCAATCATGGTTTGTGCAAACTGACATTTCTCACGTTTAGCAAACAGGTGGTTATCACGCAAACATTGCAACACCAGCCGCACATGCTGCCAATGTTCCTGCAGGGAGTTTGAGTAAATGAAAATGTCATCTAAATAAATGACCACGAATTGATCCAACAAATCACGGAAAACAATGTGCATGAAATGCATGAACACAGCTGGGGCATTGGTTAATCCAAAAGGCATCACAGTATACTCAAAATGCCTGTACCTCATCTGGAAAGTTGTTTTCCACTCGTCCTCTGCACAAATGAGAACCAGATTGTAGGCCCCACGCAAGTCCAACTTCGTAAAGATCTTAGCTTGACGAAGCCGCTCAATCAGTTCAGGGATGAGGGGAAGTGGGTACCGATTCCTCACTGTGATTGCATTCAACTTGCAGTAATCACAACACAAACATAGCTCCCCGATTTCTTTTTCACTAAAAGCACCGGTGCAGCCAATAGGGAGGTAGAAGGTCAGATAAACCCTTTCCAGAGGCTCTTGTCAATAAAATCCCGCAACGCAGACAACTCCGGTTCTGACAGGGAATATATCTGACCCGCCGGCAATTTTGCATTGGGCAACAAGTCAATTGGACAGTCATACGCCCGATGTAGAGGCAACTGATCTGCCTCCTTCTCCCCAAATACAACAGCAAAGTCCACCAACTCCGCAGGTAGATCCAGGTCCATGGGCATAGCCACACTCCCTGCACAGGAGTGCAAGTAATGATTGGCACTCTTCCTATCAAGGAACTGCAAGGTTCCAGATGACCAGACAATCTGTGGATCATGGACCTGTAACCACTCCAAGCCCAGCACCACTGGAAAATGAGGCACCGTGGCAATGTAAAACACGGTTTCCTCCACATGCTGCTCAATACGCATGCAAAGGGGTTTGGTTTCAGCAACCACAGGTCCTGAACAAAGGGGCAGACCATCAATCGTCTCCACCATTACTGGTGGAGATACCTGTTGCTGAGGAATGAACCACTGCTTGACAAAATGAGCATCCATGAAATTGGCTGTGGCCCCTGAGTCGACCAAAGCTGGGATATCCACTGCTCCACACCTGGCACGAACATACTTGCTGGCAGCACAAGATGCTTCACCTATAGCGACTGTGTTGGAGATGTCGAAGATGTCAAAGGTGGTGAGGGTGGCAAGGTTGTTGAAGATGGCAGGCCTATGGACTTTACATCCCGACCTGCAGACCCCCATAGGCCGAGTGATGCTCGTTTCCCGCCATCGCAGGTATCTCTGCTGTGGATGTCTTAACAGGACACTTGGCTGCAAAATGGCCTCGATTGCCACAATAGAGGCATAAACCATCACGACGATGTCTATTCTTTTCTACTTGAGTCAGGCAAGGGTGGCCAGCCCCTAACTGCATGGGTTCTTCCAAAGGCACTTCCACCAAGGGCGCCATCTTGCTGGAAACAGATATAGTCTCTGTCCGTTGTCGCACCCATCACTGCTGAAGTCTAGCATCGATACGAAGACACAAATGCATGAGCTCTTGAAGGGTGTGAGGGTATTCAGTGCATGCCAACTCATCCAGGAGCTCCGACGACAAACCCTCCTGGAACTGGTCTAATAGTGCTGCCTCATTCCATTGTACATCCTGAGCAACCACCCGAAAACTAGCAATATAATCCATGAGTGAGGCACGCCCCTGCTTCAACTCTCTCAAATATCTGTTTGCTGTTTGGCTTTGAACAGGGTCCTCAAACATGGCCTGAAATTGACAGCAAAACTTGGCGTAATTGTCCAACACTTGGTTGGGATGGGTAGCAGAGGCATCGCCCAACGTGCTGCAGAGCCTGACAACAAACTAATCAAAAAACCCACCTTATCCCAGTCAGTGGGAAAGTCCTCAGGCCGAAAGCTCATGTAAAGCTGGAACTGCCCAAAAAATGCTGGAAATTGGGCCAGCGAACCATCAAATTTATCTGGCACTGCCACTGGGCATTTTTGGTGTGTCTGGGCAGCTTGCATTTGTGCAGTCAAAAGAGCCACTTGCTGGGTTAACTGAACAATCTCTGCTCCGAGCTGATCCATGGTCACCCCACAAAAAGCAAAAATAAGTTGAAGGGGTGGTAGGAGTCAAAATGTGATGACCCGTAGTCTCTCAAAATAACCCAAAACCCACAACATATATTAAAGTCCAGTAAAGCCTTCAACTTAACTTCACTGTTTTATTTGGCACAGTTTAAAGTCACAAAAGTAAATAATGCGGCAAACAGAAAACCAAAACAAACCGCATTGATGAGAGTTCCGAAGCAAGCCAAGATAACTAATCATAAACTCCAGGAAAATAACCTAGAAAAATCCATGGGAAGAACGCCAGCAAAGATAAACCTCTTTCAAGGTGAACACTAAATTGACTCCTGCAAATTCTAACTGCGCAGTTGCAAACTTATATACATAGCTCCCACCTGCAAGCCACGAGGAGGATCATGGTAATCTCCTCTTGAGTAGACCTCGCTTTTCCCTGATCCTCTCCTCCCTACGTGACCTAGGATGGATAGGAGATGGCCTGGATCCTCCTCTGACTGCTCAGCCGGCCTCTGCCCTTCCCCAGCCTCCTCCACCACCTCTGGAGCCACACTCCCACTCCCTGTTGGCTGTTCCTCCTCTTCCTCAGAGTCCGTCTCCACCAGGGGCATGACACTTAGCAACAGGGTGGTCAATGTCTGGAATACTCTACCTGACTCTGTGGTTTCTTCCCCAAACCCCAAAAACTTTAACCTTAGACTGTCTACTATTGACCTCACTCCTTTCCTAAGAGGTCTGTAGGGAGCCTGCATAAGCGCACCAACATATCTAGCATCCCAGTCCTATTGCTTCTTTTATTTTTCTTATATGTACCCATTTCATGTATTCATAACTATGTATATACTTATAAAAATAAAAAATAAAAAAATAAAATTGTAAAAATTGGAAGGCTCTGGTTTGAGATTTACATGGCACATCTATCTATGGTATGACAAATTTAAGGTTAATAGAGATTACTAAAACCATGTTGTTAGCCATGCCATAATGAGAGTTTGGAACAGATAAAAATAAAAAAGTTGTTAGAATTCCTTTATGGTTGTCACCTCAAGAAACTTTTCATAGAAAAGAATCAATAAATTTGATTGACATGGTGATTTATTGATGTTTTCTGAAGAAGAAAATAATTATATTAAAATAAAAATTAAATTAAAAACAAGGAAAATGGGAAGAGAGAATTTTATTTATCAGTGGATTGCTTATATTATCTAAAAGATTTAAATGAATAAATTTTAACTGTAGAAATGGGTAAATTTGTATTGCCAAGAAGTATAGATTTTTTATTGAAAATAAATATCCAAGATGAAAATGTTAGAGTATATGCTTAAAGGGACAAACATTTTGGATATAATCTAATTTTGGATATAATCTAATAGGAGAATGTGAAGTAAATTATTGAAATTTCAGTTTGAAAAAGAATGTTTAAAAGATGACATATCTAATAAACTGTCACATATGTATAATGCTATGTCAAATATATTTTGGAAATATAATTAGTCTGAAGGCACCTTTTATCACATTTAGTGGACATGTAAGAAAGTTAATGGACATGTAAGAAAGTTAAGAGTTATTGGGATCAAATTTATATTTTAATTCAGAAAATTCTTAAAATAAGTATACAATTGAAATCAGAGGGCTTTCTTCTAGGTGTGATGGTTGAAGTAAACAACCGTGGGGGGGATGAATTTTCTTTTTTTGTTTTGTTTTGTTTTTATATTTGATAATAGGAATTTTTTTGTATGGATTAGATTCACAGATTCCCACAATGGAGGAATGGATGATGAAATTAATGGAACTGAGATGGCAAAACTATTTTGATTAAATACTTTTTTAGCTTTGTTTCCGTGTGCAACATTTGCAAATTTGCTTGAAACTGAAGGAAATACTATATTAATTTTGGGATTTGATGACTGGAATTGTTTATGATTATAGAAACATTATATACCTCTGCATTTCAGATAAAAAAATAGTGAATTTATTCTTTGCAATTTGTATTGAAGAAAGTTGGAAGTTGTTCTCTTTTTATATTCTTTCTTCTTTTTTGTCCCTTTATCCTTGCACTTTGCCTTTCCCTATCTTTTTTTCTTAATTTCTTTTTTTTCTGGCTTTTTGTATCTTATTCTTTGTAGAAATTTAATACTGTAAAAGTACTAATAAAGGAAAGAGTTGTTTTCTTTCTCAAAGTTTTTTTTTAAATTTCAAACAAAAACTCTTCTCACACCTGGTGAAGAAAAGTTATGTGAATAAAAGAGAAATAGGAAACATTTACTTAATCAGATTTTATTTATTAAGTGTCTTAGCTATAATAAATGTTTCTTATTTCACATGCTTTCATAAGACTCTTAAGATAATTGGGAACAGGTCTAAGTCAAGACACCTCTGCATAGTTTTCTTAGCAACAGGATGAAAATGATTTTCAAATTCCTTCTTCTACAATGTTTTGTAACTTCCATTTATATCCTTACAGCCCCAGGATTTCACCCATGTATTAACAAGTCAAAGTCCTCTTAGCTTTCTTCAAATAAGTGAAGAGTGTAAAGACTATAATGGTGTTTATCAGAAAGAAGGCCTTTGATTTGGAAATTAAGAACTTGCAATTTAATATATTTTGATTCTCTTTTTGCCTTAGCCCAAAGGCAGGGGTGCAGTTTACATCCTTGTACATTTGTATTGCCATAGTTTAGGATAACATCCACCAGTGAAAAATGGACATTAACCTCACCATTGATACAAAAGCTACAAGTGGTGCAAAGAGCCATGGAAAGATACATGCTCAGCATTACAAGACCTAGGCAGAAAGACCTGCACATGGATTAGAGAACAAATGAAAGTATACAATATCATCAAGAGAGGAAAATAATTGCAATGGAAATGGGGTTGGTCACACAGCAAGAAGAACTGATGGCATGTAGACCAAGGCAGTCATAGAATGGATCCCACCTGATTAAAAGCATCCACGAGAGAAACCCAAAACAAGATGGATCGATGACTTCAGCAAGTATCACGGGCCTTATTGACAAAAGAAAGCTCAGGACCATATTAGTTGGAAACATGCAGAAGAGGCCTTCATCCTGCAGTGTATAGACAATCATTAAAATGGGGAGGGGGAGGAGTTTAGAACAAACCCATAAATTATGCTGCAGGATTAAACATTAAACTTCCAAAGTCTTCCCTTTAAATTTTAGAAACTTTTTTTCATTTCATCGTATAACATAATAGGTCAAGCTAAAACAAAGTTAAGTAGTTTGTGTAGCACCATATTTTGGAACTACAGCTATTACCTTGGCATATTTGCATAAACTAGGTCAAACCATTAAGCCACAATATGGTTTGCTTGTTTATTTCAGGTGACCCCTTGATAACAATTTGTTAACACAGATTTGTTTCTTCCCCAAACCCCCAAAACTTTAACCTTAGACTGTCTACTATTGACCTCACCCCTTTCCTAAGAGGTCTGTAGGGGGCGTGCATAAGCGCACCAACATGCCTACCATCCCTGTCCTATTGTTTCTTTTATTTTTTTTACATTTTTCTTATATGTATCCATTTCATGTACTCATAACTATGTTTTTACTTATACCTATTATCTTGTAAGCAATTGACAAAAATAAATAAATAAAATAAAATTTGTGGGTAGGTATACTAGTTATACAAACACAGCTGTTGAGGGACAAACACTGTTCCTGGCTTTTTGCAGATTCTCCATTTCTCTCAGGAGATGCTGCAGAAAACCTGAGGATTATTATTTTATATATATTTTACATGCAAAAAAAATTTTTTTTTAAGCAAGTTGGTTCCTTCCCCAATTTCATGAAACTATGCATAGCATTAAAAAAAGTATCTCGTATTAGCCATCTGCTTGCAATGCCCTGATGTCAACCACAGGGCACAGCCATTTAAAAACAAACTATCTGAAATAAGAAGTGGAATTCCATTCAACACACCTCATGAGTTTTCCTGGTTTCTGTTTCCTCCACCCTCTTTTTTTTTAACGCTCTTGGGAAGCATGACAATACTCGAAAACAACTGAAATGCATATGCCAGCAGAAAGCAGATAGGTCCATATAAGGAATAACCTTCAGTCAAATTCTTGAGGTCAGGGCAACCCAGAGTTTCATTCCATTGCAATGATGTAACTCAAAAATGCTTGGCTATTTTGGGGGGAATAAATGTTCTCTAAAAAAGCTTCGTGGATCAAGGATTTTTTTTTTACAGCTTTACATTTCAGATATTTAAAACAAAGCCTTCCTGCCATGGATAGTTAATGAAAAATAACTATAAATTAATTTAGACAAGTGTTTCTCAATCTCAGCAATTTTAAGACGAGTAGACTTCAGCTCCCAGAATTCCCCAGCCAGGCTGAAGTCCACATATCTTAAAAGTTGCCAAGATTGAAAAAGACTGCTTTAGAAGATTCCTTTCACTCCTTCCCCAAACTCTTTATAAATTGAAGTGATTCCCGCCCCCCCCTGATTTGAACAGATTTTTTCTTCACTACACCAAAGAAGTACACTTTGGATTTGAATAGTTGATTTGGATACTTACAAAAACATAAGGCATACTCTTCCAAATTTGGGGTCTAGGATAGCAACTTCAATTTACAGAACTATCAGCAATAGCCATACTAGAACATTCTGGAAACAGAAGCCCACACCTTCTGGAAGGCACTAGTGCTGGAAAAAGAACAGTGTTGCTAGATCTTATTAAAGGCCCTTTGGATCTACCATGGTATGGTACAAAAAAAAGTCAACAAAGAATTCAGGTGACTCACAAACATGGACTTTGTTATTTCACAGTAGCTGGTACCCTGAGTTGTTGGAGACTATAAATGTTGTAAGGTTTATTTACTTACTCGTTTATTAAATTTATATACTTGCTCTGCTATGAGAAATACAGTGCTGGAGCTCTTCAATCCTTACTCTCAGCATTGACCTCTGGGTTTTCCTAGAGCAATTTTAAAAATAAACCAAGCAATTTATTTATATATTTATTTGTTTATTTATTGCATTTCTAGGCTGCCCATCTCCCTCAAAGTACAAAGCATCTTTCTTTCTTTCTTTCTTTCTTTCTTTCTTTCTTTCTTTCTTTTTTCTTTCTTATTTATTTATTGTGTTTCTAGCTTGCCCATCTTTCTAATTTGCCTCTGATCAGTTTTACTAGAAAATGCATATGAGTTAAATAATTTCCAAAATTATGTGTGGTTTTGGTATTTCACTTGTCTATAGATTTCTTTCCTTTCTTTTTTCTTTACTAAAAAGAAAGGGTTTTTTTTTTTCTCCAGAGTAATATGGTACTTACTGGGCAATTTCTAGAAATCTTCCCATAGACAAAGAATTAGAAGGGACCTTGAAGGTCTTCTAGACCAACCCACTGCTCAAGCAGGAGACCCTATACCATTTCAGACAGATGGCTGTCCAGTCTCTTCTTGAAAGCCTCCAGTGATGGACTACTCACAACTTCTGAAGGCAACCTGTTCCACTGGTTGATTGTGTGTTCCAAATCATGTTTAGTGATTACAGCCCTGAAATTACCTTCACTAATGTTCTAAGTAAACTGATTGGAAATTCACCAAGCATTCAGGAGCTTTCTGGTTCTGGTGTTTGGTCTGATGGACTCTTACCTTAGAAAACCAACAATTAAGTGCCCAAGAAGAGCCATTTGGATGTAGTGGTGGAGGTATCAGGCTAGAAACCAGGAGCCCATGAGTCCTTATCTAGCTTTAGTGATAAAGCCAGTTGGGTGACCTTCTGCCAGTTACTCTCTCTCTCTCTCAGCTCTAGGAAGCAAGCAAAGGTAAACAAACCACTTGCAAAACCTTGTAAAAAAATTGCAGGGACTTGTCCAAAAAAATCATCAGGAGTCAATAATGACTCAAGTCACCAAAACAACTCCAGAACTGCAACAGCAGGAGCTGACTCAAATAATAAACAGGTTGTGACAGCATGCTAAGCCCAAGAATGGAGTAACAACTGAAGAAGACAGAGCAGAAGTGGTCAGTGCTACTTCTGAAGAAGAGAGGGGAGCGATCCTGGATACTCGAGCTATATAAGACCAATATCCATGTTGTCTCCCCTTGATGGATACAGTTATCCTACCTTTCCTTCTTGTTCCTTTTTCTGGGATCTGGGATCATGTCCCTAGTTTGACTCTTGGACCAAGTTTGTGGATCTTCCTCATTGTGGATGTTGAACTATCTTCACATTTCTGCCCCTAAACACCTCCTCTGAGTATTTTGCAAACAGTTCATGATACAAAGGAGTCTTTGAACACAATGAATCCACCATTATTATCTGCTTCAATGTTTCCTTTCTCAGTAGGTATCTTCAAAAGATTTACCACATGGTGAAAAAGACTCACAGCCTTGCCATGACCTTGTTTTGTATTTCCATCAGCTTGCAAACACCAAGAAATTGCTTTTCACTGAATCACACAAACTTCGTTCAATTATTCTCCATTTGCTGTGAACAGTTCTCCAAATTCTTTGGAATAACACTTTATCAGCTCTGTTATCTTGATAGATACTTACACATCGCACTCTTCTCTCTTGGGTAAGCAATGTTACACAACGTGAAGAAAGGGAGTAAAAAGGTAGCAAGCCAAAGAATTGAAAAATGTATGATTAATAAAAGAAAAGAAAATAGAGCTCAACCTAGTTTTCACCATTCTATGTGACTGCCAAAAATGTGGCAAATGTAGATTGGGATCGCATCAAAAAATACGTTTTTTCCAAGCTATGGAAAGAAATAGCTGAAATTCTATTTTGCATTGATCAAACCACACCTCGAATACTTTAGATTCTTAGAAAGTATTCTCTGAATCTTAGAAAAGATTTAAAGAAATTGGAAGAAAGCTAAAAAAAATAGTAATGCGGAAGTCCTCATTTAGTGACTATAATTGGAACTGGAAACTTGGTCATTAAGGAAAGTAGTAAGTGAAACTATGATTCTGCTTACAATCTTATTTCAGCATTCCTTTGCTTTACAGACCTACAAAGGTTGTAAATATCAGGATTGGTTGCAAAGTTCATTTTTAATCACGACTTTCAAAGTCATTAAAATGAAGCAGTTGCTAAGCAAGAACTATCTTTAAAGCTGAAACAAAGCCTTTCTAGGGAAGATTTAAAGAAACTAGGATTATGGGATGAGTAGGTGGAGAGCAGAATATGATAGCATTGTGGAAATATCCAAAGGAATATTACATGAAAGTAATGCTGTAGTCTCCATTTGTCCAAAATATAGGATATAAAATTATGGTTTTCAGTAAAAAGAATACAGATTTCAGCTGATGGTAGAGAGGAAAATCTCAGTGGTAACAGCAGCTGGACAGTAATAATATCTACCTGGGGAAAAGGGTCTCCTCATTTGTTGGAGATATTAATCTAGCATTTCTCAACTCTGACAATCTTGACATGTGGACTTCAAACTGAAAAATTCTGGAAGTTGAAGTCCACATGTCTTAAAGATGCCAAGGTTGAGAAACACTGTATTAGGGGTTAGAAAGACATTTGGATTGCTTTGGATTGAGGTGGCAATTAAATTCAGTGCTTCAAATTATTTGAAGTCTAGTCCTAATCAAGGGCCTGATCTCAATTGCATAAATGAGCTTTCGTTCAATCTATGATTTCATCATTCTTTGTTTTAATATAATCTCTACTAAATAAATTTTTAACAAAATAAAAACAATACAATTTTTTAAGAAATAAAGAAGTAAAGAAAAAGATTAGGTAAGAAAGAAAGGGAGAGGAAAAAAAGAACAAGGAAGAAGATTGGTTTCAAATCTTTTTAACAGGGGTTAGAAAAGCATTTATATTTTATCTTTTCTCTCTGAATTTTTCTTTCATCGCCTATCTTTTTTAATTATCACATCACAAGTTCATCCTTCATTTTTCTTCGACAAAAGGTTTGTGAGGAGATTCCATTCCCAGTGAATGTACTTATTGTCCCTAATCAGATAAGTTAATTTTGTCATCACTGCTGATTTTGTCATCTTTAACAGCCTATTCCGTTGCTGTGGGTATCTTCCCATTTTTGTGCATATAATAATCTCATATACCATAGCTCTTTCCTAACTCTATATCCCAGGGGTGGGCAAACTACGGCCCGCGGGCCACATCCGGCCCGTTGGTCTTTTTAATCCGGCCCGCCGAAGATTGGTACAGAATTAAGGTGTGATGTGAATGATTGAATGATTGCATTCATTTGATTTTGACTTGTAATGACAGGCATTTCGACACCAGGTGGCGGCCCGTCTGTCAAATTTTAAAAGTCAATGAGGCCCCCGAGCCAAAAAGTTTGCCCACCCCTGCTATATCCACTAGTCCCAGAAAGAAAAGTTCTATTTCAGTTTATCTTTAAAAGTCTTTGTATTCCTGTGTGCATTTGAATCTAAAATTTCCTAGCTTTTTTACAGGTTCACCAGGCATGATAAAATCATCATGATTTTATCATTCTATGGTAAAGGCTTCCTGCTGGAAAAGCCAAGAATTGAAACAGTGGCTTTTGCCATATGCTCTGTCCATAGTTGGTGGTCTCCCACTGTATCCGATGCTGCAAAGCAAATTAGCTTCTAAAAGGTTCTTTGGTGCACATTTTACATCTTTGTCCAACTGAGGTCCAGATCAGAAATGTGACTATTGTTCAGACACAAACCCAGATTTATAGCCGCATGCCATTAGAACATTTGACTGGGACAGCAGATATAAAATGTACATCAGGGTGAACATGTATAGGTAGTCCTTAACTTACGACAGTTGGGACCAGAATTTGCATTACTAAGCAAAGGGAGTTTGTTACGTGAGCCTCACCTCATCTTACAAGCTTTATGCCACAGTTGTTAAGTGAGTCACTGCAGTTCAGTGAATGGTGTTAAGTGAATCCAGCATCTCCCACAGACTGCTTGTAAGACGCTGACTAGAAAAATTGCAAATGGTGAGAATGAATCTGTGAACATATGATGAATTACAGGAACCAGGCCTGGCTAG